AAGTTGATGAAAGGGGACAACGACCAGAAACCAGAAGCCAGTTTTTGTGTAAAAAAGAGGATACAAACAAAAAGTTTGTTGCCATGGCAAATAGTAGGAGGGACCCTTCATTGGTAGCAGAGGGGACAAAAGGAAAATGGGATAGAATGCTAGTGGTTGAAGCTGGAGGGGTGGTGACAGACTTGTGGAAAGTTGCAGAAATGTTGAAGAGCAAGATGGAGCTAAGAAGCACCTTCATTGTGACCCTGTTCGATCCTGCTAAGGCAGTATTGGACCCTCTTGAAAACCAGGTAAATGTTAGAGCCCTAAGTATCCAAGATGATTTGGGAACCTTCTCAGTTTTTAAATGTCGTTTTCATCAAATTCAAAAGTGTTCTCAGTGGAAGATAATGTAATTGTTCGAGTGCTTGGGTTGCCATTCCATCTCCGGAATCAAAAAACAGCAAACTCAATTGCTTTGTTGTGTGGAGCTCGCCTTGATGGTGTTTGTTGGGGAGACCTGTGAAGTGCAGCCATTCTACTAGGTGGTGTAAAACCAGAAGATATACCGAGGAAGGTGAATGTAGCTGTGGAGGGTTTGTTCTTCCCAGTGTGGTTACTGTCCTCCATTGAAGCTACCCCATGGAGAGAAGCAAGGCAGGAGGAAGACGAAGTGGTGGAGGAGCTGCAGCTACGTGGCAGCCTGAAAGTGGCTGTAAAAAAGAAACAAGGAGTTTTCACAAGAATGGAAGCACAGCCTTTAGGCAGGCCAAAAGACTCGGATCAGGAGACCATTAGAAATGTTAGACGTGTTACACAAGGCAACGGTGGGAAAACCAAAGTTTCTTTTGCTCAGGCAGTTGCTTGTGGACCTAAGCAATTTACTCCAGTGGAGAGAAATGGTTCGAGTGCAATACGGGAGGAGGGAGGTGATTCATCGGGTCGGGTAGAGGTATTGGTAGCCTCAAGAATATGCACGGGGGTCCAACCAGCAAGCCCATCTCTAAATTGTAATTCTGGGCCCAGTAGGCCCGAAAAGTTAAGTGGGCTATGCTTAAAAAACCCAAGAGTGAGGGGGGTGCGTGACAACTAAAAGGAGCACGTGACAAGGTTGTCTCCTCAAGTAGACAGTAAAATCCGTATACCATTGTCTTCCTCAAGCCCTTTCTCTCATTCGAACAGTTTAGCGAAGGTCTCCAACTCGTTACAGTGGAGACCCTCGAAGAAGATGCCGCATAAGGAACAGGAACGCCGTAACCCCAGGAGTGTGAAGAGCAGTGAGGTTTTCGACTCTGATTTGGAAAGATTAACAGACAATGAAGAACTTTATGATTCCGATTCAGATTTGGGAGAAGCCATTAGCTTGGGAAGTATCGACCTCCAAAAACCAAGAGATATACTGGAAGAGGGTAGCCTAAACACTAAACTGTTATTCCTAGAGGAGGAGACGGATTCACAAGATTCTGGTAATATCAAAACGCGAAGAAGAGTGAGCCTTAGCAGTAGAGAACAGATCTTTCCCAAACTGGGTATGCTATACAAAAGACAGGTGGAGTTGGGAACACTTAAAGAGGTAAGGTAGAGTGCATCCCACCAATAAATGAGTCCATTCCATATGTGCAGCCTAGTTAGGACATCAGGCCAAAGAGACATGTATCAAACTTGGAGCCTTACCTAAGGATTCACACAGAGGGAAAGAGAAGTGAAGTTTCTATGACTGTAGAGGGTGAGGAAGTATTGGTTGTACCTAGTCTGCTTCCACGGCTGAGTCCGAAAAAGGGGAAGGGCCTAGTCCTGACTCCAAGAATTGATACCCAGCAGCCGGTCCACATGCAACCATCTATGCTAATTCCAGGTAAGCCTGTCCATTTGGTTTTAGATACTAACTTGGGTTCTCTGCYTGTAACAGATGTCYTGGAATCCCRACYAGACCAACCAACTGGTAGCARGGAAGTGGCGATTGATAATGATGGAGTCCGATTAGAGAAGGGAGTTGGGTTGTTAGAAAGGAAACAAGAGGAGTTAGAATGGATTTGGGAGCAGATTTGTGCCCTGCTGGAGGAATATAGACAGAAGGAGAAAATGATAGAGGTGGCTCCAAAAAACCCTGAATCAGAGGCAAGAACCAATAGATTGGGGCAGGAGTTAGGAAATAAAGGGCAGAATAGGAAGTCAGTGGGAAATAAGGGTAGGAAAAAGAAGAAAAAGTCTGAAGTAGAGAGACTAATAATGGACATTGAAGGGGATATCGAATTCAGTGGCAGAGGGGAAAGAAAGAAGGGTTCTAAATGAAGGAACACTATATTGGAGGGCTAAATTCTTGAAAGGTAATGAAGATAATAAGCTGGAATGTAAGGGGTTTGGGTAGTGCCAGAAAAAGGAGATCGATTAAGGAGCTACTTAGGAGAGAAAGACCTGATGTTGTGATGTTGCAGGAGACAAAATTAGTTGAACTGGATAGAAGGTGGGTCTGGGAGATCTGGAAAATAAAGAGGGGTAAGATGGTGCTCAGCTCCGTCGTGGGGAGCCTTGGGGGGAATAGTAACTTTGTGGAGGGAGGACTTCGTAGAACCAGTAGAAGAGCTAATAGGAAACTTCACCGTATCCCTAAAATTCAGAATGGTGGAAGATGGGTTTATTTGGGTGCTAACAAATGTGTATGGTCCAAATAATCACAGAGAGAGGAATGAGTTATGATAGGAGCTTCATGGAATTCAAGGTTTGTGGGAAGGTCCTTGGTGTTTGGGGGGGGGGTGATTTTAATGCAATAAGATTCACAAATGAGTCAAATAATCCTAGGTAGGCCATTACAACTAGTATGAGGAAGTTCAATCACTTCATAATTCCAAGAAAACCTAACCTGCTCAAAGCTTGATAGATTCCTATTTAATGAGGGTTGGGAGAGCCACTGGAGAGGTTTGGTGGCTAAGGCCCTACCTAGGATAACCTCTGATCACTACCCTATAGAAGTAGGACGAGAACCTCTTGGTAATGGACCTAAACCATTCAGGTTTGAAAATATGTGGCTGACACACCTAGATTTCTTGCCTAAGGTTAAGGAATGGTGGAGTGAAGAGATGAGAGAAGTGAAACGGGATGGGRTTAGATTTCACAAAAAATTAAAAAGGTTGAGAGGCAAAATAAAAGAATGGAATAAGGATCAATTTGGAAGAGTGGAGGAGGTAAAAGCTAGATTATTGGTTCCGATTGAGGAGTTAGATGCAAAAGAATCCCAAGGGATGATGGATGACCAAGACAGAGGAATGAGGAGGAAACTGAAAAAGGAGTTAGAGGAGACTTTGAGGGAGGAGATCTCTTGGAGACAAAAATCCAGACATAAGTGGATCAAGGAAGGGGATGGGAATACCAAATTCTTTCATGCTTTGGATAATGGGAG